AATTCTGCTGATTCTTTTAAAAAGCAACGGAAGACGCTGCTATTCAAGCAGGCTTTTAATTAGTCATGTCATTTTTGACGGCTTTGTTTGTATGTTTCCATTTGTTTTTAAAATGTTGATATAAAATGTGTTCTACATTGTTTTATTGTATTATATTTTTTACTGTGAAGCACTTTGTGATTTTTATCTGTGAAAGATGCTAAACAAATAAAGTTTACTTACTTACTTACATGTGGTACTGCTGTGCTGCTGACTACTTAATTAGACAGCTGATCCTCCAGTCTAGCACACTGTTACAAATCTTCACAGTAACAAGATCTAGATAACACCATCTGTTGTTCACAAGCACTCCCAACCCACCTTCTTTGAATTTTCCATTCTTCTTTAAATCTCGGTCTGCTCATATGGTCAGAAAGCCTGGCAGAGAGACACTGGAGTCCCAGATATAATCCTGCAGCCATGTTTCAGTAAAACACATAATGCTGCATTGCAGTCTGGCTAGGGCTTGGAATTCTTCTAACTTGTTTGCTAAAGATCTGATTGATTGATGAAAGAGATGGCTAAAATGCATTGCTCCTCTCTCGTCTCCTTGCTCATGCGCTGTATCCCTGTAGCCCCCTTTTAAATCCATATGGAACTTGCAGAAGTAGCTGAAGTATTGTATCAGCTTTTGAGATGTAAATAAGTTGCTCCCAGGTGTGAAACATCAACTTGTTATGGTTCCTGTGATTACGCATCATAACAGATATCCAACAAGGAAAACACATCAGTAAAAAATCCTTCCAGTTTCATAGCATTCAAGACCAGAAGCAAAAACCATCAGAAAAAAGAAACTTACAAAATTACAAACAGAGAAGCTGAAGTTCTCGTTAGAAAGAATATCAGAATCAACCTAGCAGAGCTACACACACACACACACATACATTTATATAAAAATGAGTTATCAAATTTCGATATTGAAATCTAGAGAAAAGGAAAGCACTTTCAAAACTTTATTTAAGAAAGATAAATAAGGCATTTATGGGTCAAGGAACTAATCCTTCAAATGAAAGCATAAACAATAAGTGAGTTAAAGTCGCCCTTTCTTACCACATTTACCGGATACTGTATTGCTTACTGGGTCTCCTAGTTTTGAAGTCAAGGTCCCAAAGAGAAGCTTGGCAAGGTAATCTGTCTTTATCATCAGTTATTTAACCCACTTTGGTAGGGATAGCCTTGTCTCGCTTTAACCAAACACATATACACAAATCATATTAGCAACATTAAATTGCTATTTATTGGTCCATAGATGATAAAAAGGCATGGGAAATATTCCAATGTGTATATTCTCTTGCAATTTGGGAATAAGGAAAAATGCACTACATGATATGCTTTTATGTTAAAAACACATCGACAAACAGATTTAATTTCATTATAAATCCAGCTGCTCTGTGAATTCTGCTATCTGTTTGAGAGCAGCAGTGAACAAACAGCACTAGGAAGACCAAGGAGCAAAGAGACCGCTCAAGCATAAAGGGTTGAATACATTTAAAAGAAAGTGGAGGTTAAAAAATAAGCTGGACAAATTTGATGGAAGGAGATAAATACAGGTAAACCTAGAAGAAGGAGTGTAGATGGGGTAAAAGGTTTAGCTTCCATCAGCAATAGACCAATGAAGAAAAAAAGCATATTAATGTGTTACAACGTTCCCTAAGTCATGACCCAAATTCATTTGAGAATTTTGTGGTAAGAGGTAAAAATTGATATTCAGAGAAACTCTTTATCCAGCCCATCTGAGCTTAAGTTATATTACAAATAAGAGTGCATATAAATTCAGTCTTAGAATGCTCAGAATGTGAAAATCTGCAAAGGACATGCAGAAAATAGCTTTCAAACCTAAATTAAGTGCTTTTTATACAAACTGTACCAGGAGGCCCAATTGTATCTCTTCTTCTCCAGTTACCTTACATATCAGACATCCAACAAACAGTAATTGTAAGGATTTAAGTAAGAGATTTTTCATCCAAGGGTGTAACGAGGACAGTGCAAAATCGGTCTCTGATTAGATGCAACATCTTACATTTGGGTTATCTGCAGACCAGGCTTAGAGGTTTCATGCACCTCTGATCTTCAAGTTTTCATATTCTTCATGCACCATGTTCATTTATCAAGTACACATACTCGCTCACATATGTTTGCACAATGGATGTGATCAATATTTGTTACGTCAACATTTATGAAAGATGTAGTTGCTGATAGGTCATTTGAAAAGTAAAAGCTAAATTGCTCAAATTTAAGTACCTACAGTAGATAGTAGCTCTACTTTCAGTAGACTGACAGCAGGATATACCTAGAGGTGAAAGAAGAACAAGTGATTTCAGAGAGGCATATTTATGTCTCTACATTTGCCAAAACCATTTGCCCAAAACTAGAGATGAGCGCTCACAGTCCTACAGAGAGCTGATATAACCAAACGTATACTGTTCCTAATGTGTGGTATACAGACATATGATCTGAATTATATTTTTTCTTTGCTATCAGTAAATATATTGTCACGGTCTTGGTTCTGTTAAGTTTTCCGTGAATTTTCATGTTTTTC